TACCCACCAACATCATGGACCACAATCTCTCCCCCTTCATGCGGAAAGGTGAGGCTTGGCCAGCGGTGGAGGATTTGGGAGGGATGTCCATGGATTGTATTTCAGCCCCCATCTGTGCCTGCAAATGTTTCATGTGTGTCAGTGCTGTGGGTTGACCCTGGCTGGATGTCAGTACCCATTAGGTCTCCCTATCACTCCCCTTCCCTCTGGGACGGGGGGAAGTAAGATGGCGAACAGCCAGCAGGTGAGATAAAGTAGTTTTATTATAGCTAAGATACAAAATACAAGCAAAGACTTGTGCGCGCAAAAGCTAAAGGCAAAGAAAGAAATCAATCTCTACTTCCCATTAGCAGCATTGTTCGGGCACTTCCCGGGAAGCAGGGCTTCAGCACGCGTAGTGGTTGCTCCGGAAGGCAAACATTGAAAACTCATGAATACCCCCCCCCTTCCTTCTCTCTCCTCGCTTATATATCTGAGCTGACGTCATATGGTATGGAATAGCCCTTTGGTTGTTTTGGGTCAGCTGGCCTAGTCCTGTCCCCTCCCAGGATCTTACACATGCTCATCCCTTTGAGGGGGAAGGAATGTCAGAGGGACAGCGCTGCTTGGCAATAGCCAAAACACTGCTCTGTTATCAGCTCCCGTCCAGCACACATGCAAAGCACAGCACAGGAAGGGCTTGAGCTTTACCTCACTCAGACCCAATACAGTTAGCATTTACCCCACTTATTTTCTTGCCCCTAGGGATCTCTGGAGACTGGAAGAACCACTTCACTGTGGCCCAGAATGAGCGCTTCGACCAGCACTACCGGGAACGCATGGCAGGATCAGACCTCCACTTCCAGATGGAAGTGTGAGGGGCTCATCCCCCTTCCCAGGAGGACTGTGCTTCTCCTTGCTGTCCCTGTGGGCAAGGGTGGATGGAGATTCTTGTACTAATTCACTTTTCCCCCTGCAATAAATTGTGATAAATGGAGCTTGAGTCATTGCTTTCTGGTAAAGTGAGAGTGAACCCCCTGAGATCCAGGCAGTGTCCAGGAGCACATTAATGGTCAGCCGGAGAGAGGGTGGACACACAGTGGATTTTTAGCTGGTGATGGTCAGGTATTACTGGGAGTGGGCACTCTCCCAAAAATCACCACTGTCTCCTGTCAACTTGGGCTGCCCCAGCCTC